CGACGAGAGAAAAAAGAATAAAAAAAACACAATTTTTTTTTTAAAAAAAAAAAAAAACCCTTTCAAAAAAAATTTTAAACCTGCAAAAAATTTTAAACCTCAAATAATAAAACCCTCAAAAAATTTAAAACAAAATTAACTCAAAAATTTAAACCTCAAAAAATTTAAAACCTCAAAAAATTTAAACACTCAAAAATTTAAACCTCAAAAATTTAAACTCAAAAATTTAAACCTCAAAAAATTTAAACCTCAAAAAATTTAAACCTCAAAAAACCTAAAAAATTTAAACCTCAAAAAATTAAAACCTCAAAAATTTAACCTCAAAAAATTTAAACCTCAAAAAATTTAAACCTCAAAAATTTAAACCTTCAAAAAAAATTTAAACCTCAAAAAATTTAAACCTAAAAAATTAAACTCTCAAAAAATTTAAACCTCAAAAAATTTAAAACCTCAAAAAATTTAAACCTCAAAAAATTTAAACCTCAAAAAAATTTAAACCTCAAAAAATTAAACCTCAAAAATTTAAACCTCAAAAAATTTAAACCTCAAAAATTAAACTCAAAAAATTAAACCTCAAAAAATTTAAACGCTCAAAAAATTTAAACCTCAAAAAATTTAAACTCAAAAAATTTAAACCTCAAAAAATTTAAAACCTCAAAAATATTAAACCCTCAAAAAATTTAAACCTCAAAAATTTAAACCTCAAAAATTTAAACCTCAAAAAATTTAAACCGTCAAAAATTTAAACCTCAAAAAATTTTAAAACCTCAAAAATTAAACCTCAAAATTTAACCTCAAAAAATTTAAACCTCAAAAAATTTAAACCTCAAAAATTTAAACCTCAAAAATTTAAACCTCAAAAAATTTAAACCTCAAAACTTTAAACTCAAAAAATTTAAACCTCAAAAATTTAAAACCTCAAAAAATTTAAACCTCAAAAAATTAAAACCTCAAAAAATTTAAACGCTCAAAAAATTTAAACCTCAAAAATTTAAACCTCAAACATTTAAACCTCAAAAAATTAAAAAACCTCAAAAAATTAAACCAAACGAACCCAAAAATGTTTTCATATTACTAAAAACACTAAAAAAAGCAAAACAAATGACGGCAGTGGTAGACGTTCTAGCTTCAGCGCAAGTCAACATGGGATATTTTTGAAGAAAACGCGTGGATTGTTTACGAAATATTATTACATCTTAAAATTAGGATACAGGGATCGGGGGGGGTCAAAGGGTCATCTGCCAAGGTAGGTCTTACTGAAGTGAAAATTTATGTTATTAATCTTTTGATACAAAATTTAAGTTTATTGTCCAATAAAAAACAGTTTCATCAACACATTGAACAAGGCACAAAATTGTAATGTTTTATTTATTACGTACATGGGTGGTGACAAAAAATACAGGAGCAATTCAATACAAAATACAACTTCAATGTTCTGAAAAAATATAATTGTACAACAATATTTCCTACCCAAATCCTAAGGAGGAATTGAGCGGAACGGAACGGCACTCTCTCGCCACCGATTTACAAAGTTTAACAATCTTACAGTAATACAATTACGAATTAATATAGTACAAATTCAAGTTTCCTAATTTTGGAGTAACTCTTGCCTTTTCAATATAAAAATAATCAACACAGAGGATAAAAGATACTATGGCGCTAGGTGCGCAAAATACAAATTTAACAAAGTCGCGCAATGGTGAACATTTTAAAAACAATTGTAAATTATCATTTGCAAAAATGCTCCGTCGTTTTCAATTATTTCAATTATAATTTCATAATAAGTCTATATATAAATTGACTAACACCATTACAATTGAATACCAATAAATCAAAGGGCATTATTTTTCGCAAATAATCGTATCTGTTCGGAAACAATTTTACAGTCGCTATATACCAATATCCCATAAATTGTCTGCTTGGATAAATCGTTCTTACACAACAATATATTTATAAATTCTTTGCGTTTAACTTACAAACTGCGTATCATGAAATCGGCCTCTCGATACCAACTTTTTTTACACGTCGCAGAACTTTGTCGAGTCGTAACGCCCCCCCCCCCCCAAACTTGCTTCGCTCCTCTCCTGATCAAGTGCAGTCAGCAAAAATCGGGACTACGCTGCATGACGCGGTTTACAAAAAAAGTTGCGAATGTGCGTCCTGAAACACCACCAATTTTTCCAGTACAATGTAAGCCAGCCTTAAGGCACTTCAGGCAACTTTGTGCCGGCCTCTCGGACCCTGGCAAACCATAATTAGACAAAGCTCTGAAACGCAATGCAAATTAAATTTGAGCGATGCACAAAATGTATCGAGACAGAGAGATAGAGAGACCTTTTCAATCGGATTACTCACATATCTCTGGAACACAAAGAAAATTTATAAATAATACAAAAAGTAGAACGCACGAGCGAATCCAAGCAGTTTATAATTTATATCTAGATACAATTAAATTGTTTTCTCTATACAATTAAAATAAATTTAATTACGTTAAGCCGATTTTTCCATTTTAACGTGGCTGAGGGCGACGGGAGATCAAACAAGATAAAAATCACAACGCATAATAAAAAACGTCACTGCAAAAAATGTGCCATCCCACGGAGCGAGATCTGCGCTCGCCTTATATAGGAAAATGCTAACAAAAATATTTCTACCACAGACGCATTTACCACGGTGGAATAATTCTGCCACTAAAGCAATCTGTGGGAGATTGCGTGGTTTGCAAGTTGAAAATTGGAGAAAGAAAATAATTGATTATGGGAGCGAAAACCCCCGCTCTCTAGGTATCAATGGCTATATGAATGCCTCTACGACAATGTACAGAAAAATATTGAATTTTTGTTTAAAATAGGAAAATAGTGTTACAAATAAAATCAGAAGATTTAGGAATGATTTATTAAACAACAAATTATTATAAAAAGCTAGAAAGCATACAAAAGCTTTTGTAATTTAGTTACTAAAAAGTATTTACCAGTTGGCAATTTAATTTAAAATAATCATCCCTAAAATTCAAATTAAAATACATAGACGGACTTAAAAATTAAACAAATGACCTATGTAAACTCAGAATTAAAATCTAAACAAGTTCCGAACATTACCATAGATGTAGGGCTCATATTTTGAGCAGGAAATTTAATCCACGAGGTGAATGAACATTATTTAGTTTTCATGCTTAAATTCTACAAAAATACAAATCTAAACAAAACCTAAGTGTGGCCACACTTATACAACATACAATACATGTCTGAATATCACCAGAAGCTCAGAAGGGCTTTTAACACACAGTATTCAGAATTTCACACTAGCTTTTAGGCAACAATACTAATATTTCACATAACGCATATTTCAGGCTATTTACACCCTTTTCAATTCAGATGGTAATTAACACAATTTAATAAAGACGAAATGAATGCTGCAATTTATTTTACAATAAAAATGAAAATTCTGAACAAAAAAGAATTTTTAGAGCTGAATTAATTACACACCGCCTCCCCCCATAAGCCCCGTCAAACCATCTCGTCCGGCTCGAGAGGGTTTGGAGAGATGCTGTGGAGGAAGGGGTGGCAGCGGCGAAGGCAGAGTGTGCGAGGATATCAAGAGAGTGTGCGGTAAGGCGGCGGCGAACTGGCGGGGGCGGAGTGAACCACCCCCTCCCTTTGTGGAGGACATCGCGAGCCTGGTCGCCCTGCGCAATCCAAGCGGCAGAATCCACCATTGGGACACCTAGGCTGCACAACACCCAAAAATGCAGTCATCGATTATGCCTATGCACATCAAATGAGTTTCGTTCTTGCGAATTAAGCAGCTCTACATTATTTTGCAGTAAGAACTTCTATCTTGCTGCTGTTTTGTATATACAACATACATATAATATAGTGTACGTGCCTTTTAGTTGTTTGATTGAGTGTGTAACATCACTGCATCTTGGTCGACCAGGTCCATACTCTCGATAACTCGGCATAATTGTGCCGTGCGAATGCGAGAAAAACACGCAACGTGCAGGGGGCATCGTTGCCGCTCCCAGTGTCCCGAACGATGCTGTCCCCGAGAACAAAGCACATCTTTTTCACTACCCCCTATCAACATTTGTAATAGTATAAAAAAAGCATGTACTTTACCTGTAAATGTTATTCCAGGTACTGGTTCCTTTTCATGCAACCCCTTAGTAATGGCCTTGAGGCCTTTAATTTTAGATCCAGCTCCCATGTTCGCTTGGCGAGGAGACGCAGGCAATACGTCTCGTCCACCTTCCCTCGTCCATATCGCCTTCTCCAACTCGGCTCGTCCTACCTGCCCCGTCCATACCACCTCATCCACACAACGCCTCGCCGATTTTTCTCGTCCACATCCACAAGCAGCGTTTAACAATCTCGTCCGTCTCGAGGTGTTTTGGCAAGATGCTGTGGCTAAACGAATGTAGCGAGACGTGTGGCGGAGAGGTGGTAGATAGGCAAGGCAGATAGGGGAGGCAGAGAAGCAGAGAGGCTGAGTAGGAGAGGCGTAGTAACAGCGACGGAGACTGAGGCCAAGTGGCAGAGGGCAAAAGGCAGCGGCGATTTGTGGAAAAACGAAGGGAGAAGGCGGAGGTGAAGAAGCGAGAGCCGAGAGGAAACGTTGCCTTTGCCAGGAGGACAACATGACGGAGGTCGCCGTCCGCAATTCAAGTAGTGGAATCCACAATCAGGACATCTATGCTGCTCGACACCAAAAATGCCGTAATCGATTAGGACTATGTACATCAAATTAGTTTTGTTCCTGAGAATATACAGCTCTAGATTATTTTGCATTAGAATTCTTCTTTCCTGCTGAGGATTACACGTTTGTGTGTATATATATATATCACTCAAAATATTTTACATGCCTTTTAATTCTTGGATTCCACATCACTGCATCCGTTTGACCACGTCCACATTCGGTAGTTCGGCATAGTTGAGCCGTGCGAATGTTGGAAAGCAGGTTTACGTGCAGGGCATCATTGACGCAGTGTGTGCCGAACGATCCTGTCCGTGAAAAAGCAGATCTTTTTAAATTTCTTTCTGAACTTTTGTAATAGTTTTAGAAAAGCTTTTACTTACCTATAAACAAGTTTCCAGATATTGCTTCTTTTTTCATGCAGTCCCTTAGTGATGACCACGTGGTGTTCATTCTAGCTCCAACTGCCCTGTTCGTTTGGCGAACCGACCCAGGCGAGGCGACCCAAACAAGGTGAACCTAGACCAGGCGAGACAAGGCGACGAAGGCGAATCGACGCAGGGGATATAACTCGTCAAAACAGCCTCGTCAACACTGCCTCGTCCCACCCGCTTCTTTCTACCTGCCTCACCACCCATCAGCCGCCACGTCTCGCCGATTCGCCTCATCCAAACGCATCGTTCAACTTTCTCGTGCGACTCGAGAAGGTTTGACATGCTGCTGGACTGATGTGGCGAAACGTAGTCTGCGAGACGATTCGGACAGGCAGTGGCGGAGAGGCCGAGGCAGATAGGCAAACAGGAATAGAATCCATCTTTATTGTACAATAAGGCAGCACGACAAAAATGCCGTCATCCATAAGACTTATGAACTTCAAAGAAGTTACGTTCTCGTGAATTAAACAGGTCTAGTTTTTTTTGCAAAAGATAACTATTCTCCTAGGTCGACGTCTGCAATCCTAGCGATAGAAACCACCATTTTGGGGACACACCCACGCTGCTCGACAAACAAAATGTCGTCATCGATTATATTGCACGTGAAATGACATTCGTTCCTGCAAATTAAATATCTCTAGATTATTTTGCAGTAAAGTTTGTTTTCCCTGCTGAGGATAAATGTTTGTGTATATTTCACTATAAACCTGTTTATGTACCTTTAATTTTTTAGATTCCGCCTGTAATATCACTGCATCCAGTCTGCCAGGTCCACACTCTCAATAACAGGGGTTAGTGGTGCTGTCAGTGGTCGTAAAGCAAGGTACATGCAGAGGGTATCGCCGTTCCCAGTGGACGGTACAATCCATTCCATGAAAATAGCAATATATGTTTTACTAATATCAATATTTGTATGAATCTCAAAAAAGCTTTTACTTACCTGTAAATATCGCACGAATTCTCGTTGTCGCTTGGCGACGAGAGGCGTTGATGGCGAGGCGACGATCGCGAGGAAGCCATGGCAAGGAGGTGATGGCGATACGTCTCATCCACCCGTCTTCGTCCACAACGCTTCGCCGATTTCCCTCGTCCACATCGTTTAATCCACACGCATCGTCGTCCAACCATCTCGTCCGGATCGAGAAAATTAGGCGCGATGCTGTGGTTACACGAATGTGGCGGGGCTCAGTCGCAAAGGCGAATCGGACAGGCGGTGGCGGAGAGGCCTGTGGCAGAGTGGCGGCGGCAGAGGAGTGGCGGGGTAGACCTGTCAGAAACGCGGGGACAGAGAGGCTATAGCAGATAGGCAAGGCATAAATTACACAGCTCGCTTATCAGAGACGGAGAAGCAGAGGCGGAGAGGCAGAGCAGCGGAGGCGGATCCTCCTGAAATATGGAGGGACAAAAGCGGGGTCGGGTGTGAGAAAAGGCGAAGCGGAAGGGCACGAAGGAGAGAAAACCATGTCGTGGTGGTGGGCAATGTGTTTGTTCTAGTCGACGTCTGCAATCCATGCGATAAAATCCATCATTTCGACACATGTTTCTCGACAAAAAAAGAAGCCGACGTTGATTTACACTTGTGCACATGTAGTGAGTTTAGTTCCTGCGAATCAGACAGCGCTAGATTATTTTGCAGTAGAGAACTTCTCCCCTGCTGTTACACGTTTGTACACATCACCTATAAACAAGTCTACGTGTCTTAATTTTTTGATTCCACGTGTAATCTAACTGTATCCGGACGGCAGGGTTCTCATCCTCGACAACTCTCTATAGTGTGGCCGAGGGAATGGTAATAAAATACTACGTGCAGGGCAACGTCGCCGCTCCCAGTTTGCCTAATCTTCCTCTTCTGCTTCAATGCTTCTTAGCATGCAATCCCTCGGTAATGACCACGGTGTGTCATCAATTCGAGCTCCAGCTCTCGTCATGGCTTGGCGAGAAGACGAGGGCGAGGCGGGACGTCTCGTCCACCCCCTTCGTCCACACTACCCGCCTCGTCCTGCCTGCGTCCGCCACGCCTCGTCGATTTGTCTCATCCACGCGCATCGTCCCACCATCTCGTCCGGCTCGAGAAGGTTTGACATGATGCTGTGGCTAGACTGATGTGAAGAGGCGGAGTCGGCGAGGCGATTCGGACAGGCAGTGGGGCAGAGGCAGTGATGGAGAGGCATGCGGGATGGCCTTGGGCGTGATGGAGAGGCGGAGGTGGAGGAGAGTCGTTGGCAGGTAGGCGGAGGCGGAGAGGCAGCGGTGGCGAAGCAGATGCGGAGTAGCGAAAAAGCTGAGGCGTTGAGGCAGAGGAGGCGATGGGGAAAAGGCAGAGGCAGAGAGTATGAGAGAGGCTAAGAGGTGTAGAAGCCGAGGCGGAGAAGCGTAGTAGCAGACGCGGAGGCGAAGGCGCAGGCTAGGTGGCGGATGACAGGAGGCGGCTGCGGGTGTGCGGAAGGCGAAGCAGGAAGGCAGCAGCGAAAACATTCAGATATGTACAAAGTTTAAGAGCACTTATCAAACCGGCCAAAGCAATGCCAAAGCCAAGAAAACAAAAAACCAAGCTCACCAATTACTCCAAAACTGCACTCATCTCCACTGCCTCCTGCCCTGCGGCCTGCATCTGTGATCCTCACTTCCATCATCAACTCCTCCAGGGATCAGGCTTGTGCAATGCACTGACGTTCATCACGCCTTAGGATTGAGGAGGCCTCCAAGCCAATCATGGAAACTGCACAGACAAGCGAATTCTCAGACCAGTGTTAAGAATTTATGTTTTACCACACAGATTTTTATGCAAACAAAATTATTCTGGAAATCTAGGAAGATAAATAATACAAAATGTGACTTCATGTTAAGCATACATTGTATTCGCAATAAAGTAAGATTCACATGTGAAAATTGAACATTTTATTTCACTTCAGGAGAAGAACACCATTGTTTGTGTTGTTGCTATGCAAAAGTATTATAAACACTGGTGAATTGTAAAGCGTAAGTAGTTCTTGGATGGACGCACCTTAATTTCCTTAGCACCTCCTTGCTACACCAACTGTGATTCTGCTTGAAGTTGTCGTCGTACACATTGGTTGAAATCTGTGATCCGCTGAATAATAGTGTAACTTAATGTGGTACAGTGAACTGGTGCCAGTTAGTTGGCAAAATACCTTCGATTAAATCACTCAACATAGTGTGTGTGGTGGTATTGGGGTTTGTTTCTTCTGCTCCTGATTTAATTAAATAAATTAGTGTAATTGTTATAGTTAAACATAATAACATACACAATAAATCAATAATTTTTCCATTTTATTTTTGCAAAAACTTCAATTTTGTTTCAAAATAAATTTTGTTTTCAAATCTTGTAAGTTAGTAGTTATTTGTTATATGAAAACAAATTGTCAATTATGAAAATTTTGATAGTTTTTTATCGTTACGGAACAAATTTGATATTATTACCAAGAAGCAAGATACTGTCACAATATTTTTTTCTTTAGAAGCTGTGACAGTATATCTTCTTTACAGCCATTTTGTTGCCTAAACAATATTTAACACTAATAATAATTATTATTATTATAATTATAATAAATAATCTATAATATAAAAATGAATCGCAAAATGTGTTGGTAAGCGCATAACTCTCAACAACCCCTGGACCAATTTGGGCAATTCTTTTTTTAAAATGTTTGTTGAAGTTCAAGGATGGTTTTTACGTCGA